ATTATTATTATTACTTGATATCCTTACCAGTGAGCTTTCTTAGCATTCCGAATAGCAACTTTCCTTTTAAGGGCACTTCTCTTGTATCGATCTAGAACAGGACACATAGACTATGTCTAGACCTGAACGAATATATATAATTTTCATTTTGTTATGGGGTGCCCAAGGAATGTTACCGACCTTCTTTGATTTGCAGTCGTGTTATCAGATCGTCAGCCTTCTTTTCCAACTGGCTAATCATCTCCACACTCCCAACGTCACGCTTCTGCCTTCCTTCAGCCTGCAGTGCATCGTGGACATCGGCAACAGCTCTTTGGACTCGAGCTGTAGGTTGAGAAACAAGAAAGTTGACTTAATAATTATAATTCGTTTTTGCTTTCATGCAATCATGAATTTGTAGGGAAGTTTATGGTGGAACATTTATGCATTTGTCTTTTTCCTCACCTATTCATTCATTTATTCCATTGTTTGTTCGTTAGTTTGTTCGTCCGTTTGTTGATTCCTTGTTCTTCAATAGCTCGTTTGTTGACTAGTTCGGTTGGTCGTTCATTCATTCCTTGGTCTTCATTGGCTCGTTCGTTCGTTTGTTCGTCCGTTCGTTCATTCTCCGCTCGTCATTCTTTTGTATGTTCGTTGGTTGGCTTGCGTCTCCGGTTTGGTCATTTGTCCATTCATTGTTTATCGATGTGTTCGTTTGTTTCATTACTGGTGCTCATTCTTGGTTCGTTCGTCCATTAATTGAATTTTTCTTTTGAAGACTGATGCTGTTTGTTTACATCTTCCCAAACAAGATGAACTTTTTAGTCAAAGGCTTGATTTTTTTTAATACATTCTAAATGCATACGCACATTAAAGCTTAATTAAACGACCTACCTTTGTATTCCCTGACGGACACACTGGAATTGGTGGGAACCTCGTTGTTCACAACATACTCCATCTGGAGGGGAAAATTATCGAGATTTAACACCTTAATGGAGCTACGTCACGTTATCTTTTAGTTTTACTCAGTTTAGCGGGTCGTCGAAAAGTGGTAGTCTTGCACTGTACATGTGCAAGTTCGAAAATTTAAGCTAAATTTTTCAATTTGGGCAAAATTTTATATACAGACTGCAAGTCATCCAATGTCTTTGCTTGATCACGTAATTGGATTGTTTGAAATGAAGTGTAATCACTATTATCTTCATCATCGTTATCATCTTCTTCATAATGGTCGTAAATGTATTGTTAAGCGCTTTTGTTATAGTACAGTTCTTGACACAGATGGCCTATGTCACTCAGGATGGTTTTCATTTGGACACTATGGTAAAACTTGTGTTATGTATCAAGAGAATTATATCAAACAGATCCAAGGGAAAAACCTAAATGCTTCTTCAAAATATCTTAGTCGGAGCTTTCCAAATCAACCTCTATTAGCTGACACTATTCTATAAGCGTTTTAGGAGTAGTCTCTTAGTTCTGTGGATAGGTATTCTGGTCAAAAAGCACCATTAAGGAACTCTTGTAGTTCACCGAGACAATTATGAGATCTTCATCGTTACTATTCCTGACGATCTGAGTTTATTTAACTCAATATTATTACCTGATTTAAGAGGTATCGGAACACGTTGATAAGGTACTGAAGTTTACTAAAAATTGAAACGAGAAAAGACTCCTTTATTGGCAAGCAAAGCATAATATCATTACCTTATCCGTTACTCCTAAAGCAAGTATTCAACGGATTTATACCCATGACTTAAAAGTGCAATAAAATACAGTAAGTTTTGCTCAACAGCATATTGAATATTCGGTATTTCGGTTCTGTTACTTAATAATGGGAACTAGATAATAATCTTAGATTATTGGACGCAGCGTGGCCGAGTGGATAGGGTGCTGGACTAGTAATCCGGTGGGGCGGGTTCAAGTCCCTCCACCCTGCCACTTACTGGACTTATTCTCGGTTTCCCCTGGCTCAACTCCTCGGCTGCGCTCTGTAAATAGCCGACTGGTCTGCTATTTGCAGTAGTGGGGATTATTTATATAATGAAAAGAGAAAGAAAAATTGAAACTCAGATTTAGCGATTCACCTCTTTGCATCGGGGGATGGTCCAATGGATGGAAACGCAGCTGTTACAAAAGATCCAGAAAAGGTTAGAAAGATTATTTGACACCATGCCCTCGCATCTTAGATTAAACTTACATCACTGAAAATAACGCTTGAAATTTGAGAGGGTATTTTTATTTTCTTGTGAAACTTTATTTAAAAATTGCACATTACTAAATTTAGCACGAGTCGACAGTTATCTAAGCTTCATGGAACACATTTCTCTAAAATTCTGGCGTTTGAATAAATTCACGTCGTTGTTTTCAGCATTAGGGACATGCTAAAGAAATAAAACATTTTACTTGTTAAACAAGTTGAGGACAAACTGCAACGAATTTCGTATCCTTGCTCCTGTATTTGAGCTATAGCGTAAAACGTGATAACTGTTATTTTCATGAGGTTCAATCGAGATGAGGAGAGCTAAAAATATAATCTCTACGAAATCCTACAATACTTACTACCAGCCGTTGGATAAACCGAGCTTGGTCTTGGTGTGGTGAAAACTAATTGAAGGGGAAAAAACATAAACGAAAAAATTATACTTAAAACTATAAAAGAGGAGACCGATGAAATAAGAATTTTTCTCATCTCTGTTTTCTACAATATAATCTGATTAATTCAACTTTAAAACATGGTTTGAAACATAATGTCATCTGTGAAACCCCAAGAGATCCATTTCTATTGTAGTTGAATCCTCGATTGTCTTTCATTTGTTCATGAAAGGTAATACAACTTAAGACTCACTGATCGAGAAGATAAACGCGCTGCAAGGTATGATCTCTGAGAAATCCAAGTTTACTTACTAAAGGGCGGAATCGGTGGTAATTTACTGCTATTTCCTGAAAAAGCATAACTATCACAGAGAAAATGATACTTCGTAGAACGGTTTTTAATATGTACCATAATGATTTCTTTCTTTTAAACATTATGCAGATTAGATCAGCAGGTAGATCAAACGCATATTTAGCAGAAAGATCGCCTAGTTTCATGTTTCAACCCTCCTTTACTCATCAAACATGAGCGATGTTTTCCTCATACATCCAAACTTTGCTATTAGTTGAATTCAAACCATAATAGACAAATAATCATCTTATAAACGGCTTATCGGTCTGTTTGGTACACAGTTATCAACGTTTCCGGGTCAAATTGAAATTTGAAGTGGTGGTTTGTGAAGATAGAAAAGTGATAATTAAGAATTTAAACTCAACCTACAGGAATAGGGTCAATCGAACCCAGGTGACAGTGGGAAGAGGCGTCCTAACCCTACTCCCCTCATTTATTTCTATAGTATGACATTTACCACTGTTTACAGATGAAAAGGTCAGGTTATATCCTCTTTCCCTTTCAGAGCCATCGGAATGGAAGGTTATCACTGCATAACGTCCAGTCACAGATACAGTCCGTCCAGTCTTGACGCCACAGTACTTCCCAAATGTGACGTTCCTTTCATTGGTAATCCTCAGATAGTCATATCTTTTGAAAAAGACAAACAATAATTGCGATGTGTTTATCAAATGCTATAAAGTAAGACTGCAGTGGGACGTTACAAAACTATCGAAATAATTGATAATTACATTAAGACTTCCTACCCTCCTGACTCAGAGAAAAGGATCCAGCCAGTCTACTTACTGGAGTGGCCTTGGGGAGGAGGGGGTGAGAAATGGGAACTTTATCTCTTTTACCAGAAAATGAGATTTTAGTTACAACGCGATAGAAATCTCGGGCCCATAATCTAACTGATAAAGATAACATTGCAGTGTGACTAGGTATTGGATTTGGACAAAAAATTGACCATGGAATATATCTTTTTGAGGTAGTCATTTCCCTATCCCATCGGGACCCTCATAAACCATACTCTACACTAACAGCCTGCACCGAGGGTGCAGCACATTTTTCTTACTTTTTAATCCCCACCAGCCACAGCCCTTACCCCTCCTTCCCACCCATCCAAGTCTAGTATCGCATGTCCTGTTCATATGGAAGAACTGATGCATTACGCTACTTTTGCAACATGTTTTCCTCACACCTCACTTACCTGCAACTAGGATGTGACTCGACTTCAAAGTCCCTGAAGTAAATTCTGAGCGTCCCACCAGGTCGGATGTAAACCCTATAAGTACAGTCCATCCCATTCGGATAAAAGTTTGGATATCCGGGACTTGTGAGCTGATTATTTTGCACGTATCCACAACCAACTATACAAAAAAAATAGATCTTTTAAAATATAAAAGAAATAGTGACACAGTTGACTTTTACAACGGTCACTAAGCTAATTTAAATGTTGTCTTACTTTTATGTTCTTACCTTGTGGTGGTGCTGTGGTATACCAAGGTCGATTTGTGGTGTTCACTGTTGGTGGAACCTGGGTAGCATTACCTGATGAATTGAAAACAAATACAAGAAGGAAAAGATAAAATAAAATTACAAGAGGCAAACTGTAAAGTGAGTAGAAGTTACTCGGAAAAGAGAAAACATCGACACGATGGAATTTTACAGCCTTCATGAAGCGAATTTGAATGGTGTAGTACTTTTGTGTTCTTACCGTTTGGTGGTGCTGTGGTAAACCATGGAGGATTTGTGGGGTACCCTGTTGGTGGGCCCTGAGTACCACTGCCTGGTGAGTTCAAAACGAACGCAACGATGAGAAGGAATGATAATATTACAAGAGGCTTATTGTGAAGTAAACAGAAACTACTAAGGAAAGTTAAGTTATTGTTGGTTTAACCGTAAGGGGGTCGGTATCAGATAACTTGTAGAGAAAGCTTTAGAGTTAAGACGATAATCAAGAATTAACTGAACCCACATGAATCCTGACAGTCGAACCCAGGTGACAGTGGGAAGAGGCGTCCTAACCCCACTCCCCTTATTTATAGTATGACATTTACCACTGTTTACAGATGAAAAGGTCAGGTTATATCCTCTTCCACTGAAAGAAGTATCTGAGTGGAAGGTTATCACTGCATAACGTCCAGTCACAGATACAGTTCGTCCAGTCTTGACGCCACAGTACTTTCCAAATGTGACGTTCCTTTCATTGGTAATCCTCAAATAGTCATATCTTTTGAAAAAAAATAGTAATTGTGATGTGCTCATCAAATGCTATAAAGTAAGACTGCAGTGGGACGTAACAAACCTATCGACATAACTGATAAGTACATTAAGACTTCCTACCCTCCTGACTCAGAGAAAAAGGACCCAGCCAGTTTACTTACTGGAGTTGCCTTGGGGAGGAGGGGGTGAGAAATAGCAACTTTATCTCTTTTACCGGAAAATGAGATTTTAGTTACCACGCCATAGAAATCTCGGGCCCATAATGTAATGGTTAAAGTTGAAATCGCAGTGTGACTTGGTACTGGATTTGGACAAAACATTTACCAGCGAATATGTTTTGTGAGGTGGTAATTTTCCTATCCCATCAGGACCTTCAAAAGCCATACCCTACACCAACAGCCTTCCAGCACCGAGGGTGCAGCACATTCTTCTCGATTTCTAATCCCCACCAGCCACAGCTCTTGCCCCTCCTTCCAACCCATCCAAGTGTAGTAGCGCATGTCATGTTCATATGGAAGAACTGATGCATTACGCTACTTTTGCAACATGTTTTCCTCACACCTCACTTACCTGCAACTAGGATGTGACTCGACTTCAAAGTCCCTGAAGTAAATTCTTAGCGTCCTGCCAAGGGGGATGTAAACCCAATAAGTACAGTCCATCCTATTGGGATAAACGTTTGGATATCCGGGACTTGTGAGCTGATTATTTTGCAGGTATCCACAACCAACTATACCAAAAAAAAAATAGGATTTTTTAAAAGAAATTTAAAAAATAGTGACACAGTTGACTTTTACAACGTTCACGAAACTAATTTAAATGTTGTAGTACTTTTGTGTTCTTACGTTGTGGTGGTACTGTGGTATACCAAGGCTGATTTCTGATGTACACTGTTGGTGGAACCTGGGTACCATCGGTTGCTGAATTGTAACAATGAGCCGAGCTGTAGGAACTCGCTGGAGTCCAATGATTCGAGGGTAACCCAAAAAATGGCTAAGTCCGCAGGCAGTTTGCGCATGTTGAAAATAATAGCCTTCATTTTTCGAGTTCTTTATTTTATAATCCATTCGAGTTGATCTCCACCACCCTTAACCATTCTCTCTCCTTTTCACAATATTATATCTCTAATGATGTTCTATGTTTAAATTTTTTTTTAATTTAAATTTATATAAAAACAAAACGTCACGCTACTTACAGCCGGTAGGGACAAACGTGAATGTTAAGTGGTATCCTCTGCGTGTGACACTGGAGTCTGACTGAAATGTGAACACAGCGTACTGACCAGTGACGAGGACGGTTCCAGATCTAATACCACAATACTTTCCATTGAGCCCACCAAATGTCTCACTTTTTTCGTTTGCAATCTTCAAATAGTCATACCTGTTATGAAAAAGGTTAAATCAAATTTCTCTACAAATTAAAAGCCTGAGCAGAAGCCTAATATGGGCTCCTGACTTGAGAAACGGTCAAAATGGCTGACAAATAATTATAGAAATGTTACCTTCACCACCAAATAGTATATTGAAAGTGATGTGGTTGACAATATTTATATGCAAATAGGACTTAGTCATGTAATTGTCGTAAAAGGAGTTATTAAAGTTAACTGTATTTTCGATCACCCCTAACCCTTTACACCCTACCGTCAGCATGAAAATTCTCGACACTGTTCTCGTTACCTTTCTAGAGGTGCTGAAAAGGAGAATTTTTTTAATAATCAAGAGCTTCTTCAGTTAATGATCATTTCCTTTATTCTCGTTACGTTAATGTGTGATACTGGGGTGAGGGTGAGGAGAAATCACATGCTAATCACTCTCAGGGGTCAAAGGTTGGAAAGCAATTGCAATGAAAGGAGAACACCAATCATAATGATAATATTCAGAAATTTTCTCCAATTTGATTAAAATCGAACTTGCGGCAGGGGGAACCACAATTTAATAGAATTACTCAAAACAGAAACAATGTAAATAGATCGATCCTGGTAAAAAGTTAACTTGTTTGCTCGGTCGGTGATGATAATCAAACATTTGTAACTAACCTTGACTTTTTTGTGGTGAAAGTGAAAAAAAAAGAAAAAAAAAAAATGGCAGAGTTTACCTACACATAACAGATCATGATGAAGTTATTTGTTTAGACAAGACAAAAATCGTAATCCACTAATGGAGAAGGCTCCTTTAATCCTTTCACTTCAAAAAAAACAAAATGACAATTCTCAGTACTGTCTGTCATACTTTTCCTTCGAAATGAGCTTTGAGAATTAGGTTTTAAATCAAAGAACATCTCCTAATGATGGTTTCCTTTCTTATTACCTTTCAGCTTAAAAAACTGTTGATATTTCTGAGAGAAATACCTTTCGGGTCATTAGGAATGGAAGGACTGAACGCAGAAATGGAAATAAATCAGGTAACGAATGTCAAGCCTGTATGGAGGATATATGGGAATTAAGTTCTGCTTCGTTTTACCTTCAAACCTCACTTACCTGCAACTGTGGGCGTTCTCGAGATTGAAGTCATTAAAGCTGATGTTCATTGCCTTTCCAGCAGGAATTTCGACCCTGTAAACGCAATTCATGCTATTTGGGTAGTTACTTGGGTACCTGGGACTTTTCAGTTCATTACTCGACGGATTTCCGCATTCTGTAAAAACACAATTATGAATGTCAAGCTTAGGATGGCATGTTCTCCATGGGGAGCTAGGTTACGAAATTTATCTTGAACTCGTTTGCACAGTATTTATAAGATAAAAGCTTAACTGTATATTTTTTTCATTTGTTTGAGTCAGTACAAAATCTCTCATTGATGTTTTTCTTTTATTTATTTATTCGTCCATCTATCTCTCCATCGATCAACGTCACACCTGACAGCCTTTTCTGTACTTCACCCGCTTTAACTCCACCCACATGAATCGGGTCAATCGAACCCAGGTGACAGTGGGAAGAGGCGTCCTAACCCCACTCCCCTTAGTCATTTCTATACTATGACATTTACCACTGTTTATATATGTAAAGATCAGTTTATATCCTCTACTTCCTCGTCCATCTATCTCTCCATCGATCAACAGCTCACCTGACTGCCTTTTCTGTACTTCACCCGCTTTAACTTCGGAAACAGACTTTCCAATATGCCGAGGTCCTATAAAACGTTTATTTAAAAAAAATTAGATTCCATAGAAACTGGCAAATTGTCTTCCATCGCATTTAATAAAGATAAAAATATAAGATCATTGCTGTATTTTAAATACTCTCGATAATATAGCAACTTTAAAGTGCTTGACGAAAGTAATGCAGAATTTTACTGGTTTTGCTTAACTTAGCTCTCTGATTGTTCAAGAAAACCCACACCACTCACGTTTCCCCAGTAATTTGCCTGTTATTACGGTGAGTTCCGATTGGCTATTGACGATGTTAACGTTTGTTGGTGTTTCGACATGATCATACGTGAATGAAAAAAAGTCATATGAATAAACTAAACACTTACTGCAAAACGCTGTTGGAACCAAACCAAAGAGAGCAATCACACACCACAAGGTCTGAAAAATGAATAGATATGGAATAACTTAGCTGACTCTTTTTTAATTACTGGCTTTCTTTTTTAGCTAGATTCAAATTTTCAGAGTAGAGAGAGCTTATGTCACTGAAAAACATTTTACACTTAGCAAGGAGCTTAGCTCCAGAGTAATGTACGGGCATGGGGTTTTTCGGCTTCCCATTTTTTCCGCTTCCCGTTTTTCCCCTATCAGCTTTCGATAAAAGCGATGTCAGGGTCTTGTTATAGTTTTGTCTAACTCCTTGCCCTCACTGTAGGGCGATGATTCTCGGCGGGATTTAATTAAGGCTTGATAAATTATCAAACCCGCCCTTTTGGTCATTTTAGGTGGTTTCCAGTTTCTGGTGAGCTCCTTTCGATCATGACTAGACTGATAGCGGTCAAAGTGTGTATCGAGAAGCCAGAGGTAAAATAAATATTCCGAGAAAAGTATGCAAGCCCAGGAAGCTACGCGCCTGGCGATCATTTACTTACCAAAGGCGTCGACATCCTCTGAAGCGTACGAAATTCCGAGGTCTGATTTGCTCAAGAGCAAAAACTCAAATGATGTTTTAGTTAAAACAGGGCAATTTATATCATGATTTTTTCTTTTTTGGACCGTAAGATACACAAATCTTCTTAATTAATTACGCTCTTCCTCGTCAGTTAATTTGTCGAAGTTAAATTACATTCCAACGTTAACAAAGTGTCTCTATGCGGGAATATAACAGAAGAAACGCGGACTATACAAAGCAGCTGTAGCACAGCTGTATTTTAAGGATCTGTAGGGTACAGAAAATCTTAAATCTTAGTTAAATGTATTAGATTTTCTATTCAACTGCGGATACTGACATTGACGCTTCGCGTGAGCGAAGAAAAAGGCTTATTAAAAAAATGTGTTGCTTAATTGCTATAAAGAAAGATCAACTAAAATTTATCGGTGGTAATTAAAAAGATAATTCGTTTACCTTTTCGGGACGTTCAGTAATTGTTAGGGCAATTCTTTTTTTGTTTTAACAAGCTTTATTTGAAAAATTCAGCGGGGTAAGATTTGACATGTTTTTATGTAGCACGGTATACGTTCATTTTGGATTTAAAATTCATGATAGTGATTTAGCTTGCAAGTGTTTCTATGGATACGAAATCCAACTGACAGACATTTTTCTCCTCCAAAATGAATCGCCTTTTGCTTTTCTTAAGCTGTCCATACGCAGTTTTTATAGTTCTTAAATTTTACCTATGAATTACAACTGTTTTAACTCTATTTTTGGCGGCCGTTTTGGTATAGTGTCAGTTGTCAGCATATTAAGCAAGCTAATCTTTAGCCACTTCACGTGCACCTCCGCCAATGTAATCTATTCAGGCATAACTTGCACTTATTGCAAAAAGATATACATCGGCGAAACAGGCAGAAGACTAGGTGACCGATTCCGAGAACACCTTCGAGACGTGGAAAGGAATGACGAGGACACATCGAAACCAGTCGCTAGACATTTTAATTTACCTAATCATTCTAAGCAACATATGGCAATCTGCGGTCTTTCCTTACACCTTGGTAGCACGGACAGCCGTAAAAATCTTGAAAAAAAGCTCATCTTTCAAACCGGCAGTCTAAATCCCACAGGGATCAACGAACGCTTTTCATTCCACTAATTTATTCGTGTTTTTCTCGTTGCCATGTTCCCACCAATAACGTAGCTCCATTCTCTGCCTTTAAAAGCACACACAACCCACAATTCCTCTATTCGCTCCGACGAAGGGCTAACGCTCGAAACGTCAGCTTTTGTAATCGTTACGGTGGCCAATTTACCA